AAAATGCACAGAGACAAGAGTTTATTATCAGTGGTCACTGGGGCAATGGTTACAGAATCTTGTTTAGGGTGATGAAAAACTTGTTGAAAATAGACAGTGGTGACGGTTATATAACAAGCTGTCATTAATAGTCACTATCAGATGTGGTTCTGACTCATAGCGACTGTATGTACAACACAATGAAACACTTGTTGCAGCCAGTGGGTCCATCCTTCTTATTGAGGTCTTTTTTCTTTGACCCTCTACTGAATTAAACATGACATCCTTCTCCAACTCTTTGTGACATGTCCAAAGTACATGAAACAACAGCACGGCACGCCATCCTCGCTCTATGGAGCGCACTAGCTACCCTTGTTCCAGAATAGATACGTTCATTCTTCCGAGAACTCTTGGTACAGTCTTCACCAACATCATAGTTCAAATGAGTCAATTATTCTTAAAACTTTGGTCAATAATGGAATTAAAAGATAACAGAACTTTCCAGGAACTTTCTGAAACTCCCGCATCCAAGGAGCCCTGATGGCAAAGCAGTTAAAGTGCCACTTCAGAGGTCCGCGGCCTGAACCGACCAGGTGCTTTGTGAGAGAAAAACGTGGCTATCTGCTCCCTAAAGACTGAAAATCCTCCTGCGTAGTTCTACTCTGTCCTCCAGGGTTACTAGGCATCAGCATCAACTCAACGGCATTGGGTTTGGTTACACATAAATATATACAATCTGGTGGAACAAAACCCAAATGCACTATGAGTCGACATTTTTGCTCATTCAGGAAGTTGACAGACATTCAGAATGAGGTTTGTCATCAATCAACATTTCACCTTTTTTGAAATGAGAAAACCATTCTTATCCTTGAGTTTTTTCCCAGAGTGCTGTCTTTGTAAGCTGTATTCAACATCACAAAAGTTTCTGCGGCCTTTTTCCAGAGCAGGAAACAAAATTTCACAGCTACACACTGTTCTCTTAAGTCAGACATCACCACAATATGAGGTTTGAGTGAAACGGCTTTTATGAAAAAATTCAGTCACCAGAGAACCTTCCTAGGCGATGCCACTAGGTGCATTAATTCAGAGGGAGTTGCTCGATGCTTGCCTAGCAAGAAAAAAGCTCCACTCAGCCCAGAACAATTCCAGGCTTTTGGGGGGTACCCCCTCATATGTGTACCGTATATACTCGAGTATAAGCCGACCCAAATATCAGCCGAGGCACCTAACTTTACCAAAAAAACTGCATTAAAAATGTGCTGAAAATCTTGGCTTATACACGAGTATATACATACCTATGTATGTGTGTGTGTGTGTGTAGATAGATAGATAGATAGATATAGATATAGAAAGAATATGAGTTCTGAGTGGTACAAAAGGCTAAACACCCACCTACTAGCCAAAAGGTTGGCACAGTTCAAACCCACCTACAGACACTCTGAAATACAAGTCTGTTATTTGCTTCCAAAAAGTCACAACCTGCTTGATATAACTGAACTATGGAATGGTATGATATCTGTATAGCTCCCAATAAAATGATTTTGGGGGGAAAAGTCACAATCTCGACAACTCTATAAAGAAATGTTATTCTGCACACATGGGGTCATGATGAGGCAGAATACACTCAATAGCCACTAACAACAGAGATAGAACGATAGATAAGAGGGCAAGCCCAAAAGTATTGCTACTAGGTTCCAATTTACTCTAACTATTTTTATGCTCAGTGGATGGCTGCAGCAAGATCCCTCAATAATAATTTTTCTTAGTCTTATTATGCATTCCAGAAGAAAACTGCACAACAAAACAGTGGTTTCTGAGAGGATCTACGGGGCCACCAAAATACAAAGCAGGCAGGTCACCTCCAAAGGTTATGATGACTAGTTTTTGAGATTTCAAAGGGGCAAACGACAGATTTTCTCAAAAGATACAGAATGGTTACACTAGCTTAATAGAAAGAAGTCAAAAGAAAGTTAAAAACTCCAAGTGGACAAAGGCCAGGAAGTTGCACTGAGATTTTTCCCCCGTTGTAATACACTTGCTCACTGTTCAAGGGAATTTCACTGGGAAGCTTTAGCCCATCCACCCTACATGCCTTATCTTGCCCTTTCAGACTTTTTTTTTTGGTAATCAACTCTCAAGAAACACGAGTTGAGTCCCTGAACTGCTACTTTGACATGGTATAAATGAGAGAGCCCAAACTTCTTCAGCAATGAGTTAAAGAGATGGAAATACTGTCATCAGAGGTTTATAGACCTAGGTGATGGGTATCTCAAGAAACAATAGCTTCCTAGTTTGAAAATTTTATTTAAGGATTTTATGATTTTGTAGTAGTACATATGTATATATTCCACTATCTTAATTGACAAAGTAATTGTGTATATTTTATGTTCGTGAAGTATGAGAGGCTAAAAATAGATCATTTTTATAATTTAAAAAGTGATCCCATGGCCCGAGGTGAAAGCAATGGGCCAGAAGGAGGCGGGGAAAAGGAGCAGTGAGCAAACAACACCATAGACAGGGGAACAACTAGGGAATTAAAAGCAACACCGAGGAGGACACAGAGATCCAGGGGGTGTTGGAGCAACAGCAATCTAGCTGAGAGGAATTTGTAAGAGGCAGAATAAGGATGATCATGATGATGTAGCAGGAGGAAAGTAAAAGGAAACAGAGGAAAGAACTAGGAAGCAAAGTTATTGATAGAGATATAAATATAGGTGTGTACATATGTAAATATATTAATTCATAAAAATAGAGGTATTGGCCCATGTACATATATTTATATGGCAATACATTGAGGAAGCGAAAAGACTTTGGGCCTCTGCTCAAGCCCTCCCTCAATGCAAGGACACTTTGTTCTAACAACCTGGCATTCTATGATGCTCACCCTCCTGGTATGATTGCTGAAGACAAAATGGGTGCATAAGCAAATGTGATGAAGAAAGCTGATGGTCCCCCGCTATCAAAAGATACAGTGTCTGGGGTCTTAAAGGCTTGAAGTTAAACAAGTGGCCATCCAGCAGAGAAGCAACAAGTGCACACAGAAAAACACACCAGCCTGGGCGATCAAGAGGTGTCGATGAAATCAACAGGCATCAGAAGAACCCCTCCCCGCCAAAAGGAAAACCATGTTGAGAGCTAGGGAGAGTGGGGGTCAGAGCAGAGACCCCAAATCCATCTGTAGACAGTAAGACAAGGTCACAAGGAAGGAATGAGTCAACCAGGGCAAAGTACAGCACCAATGACACACAAAATAGTCCTCTGGTTCTTTGAGGTTTCCTGAACCCCCACTATCATGACCCTATCCTGCCTTTCAGTTCTGGCTAAACCAGAGCATTTATCCTGGTAAGAGCTCACAATACACACAGAATCCAGGTCAGATAAACCCCTCAGGAACAGAAGTGGGAGTAGTGGTACCAGAAGGGTAGGCGTAAGGTGGGAGGAGGCAGGGAAGGAGAAGGAACAGATCACAATGATTGACCCATAACACCAACCTCCCCCCCCCC